CTGTAAAGCAAACTTTCAGTTTGTGCATTGTGAAACCCCATGTCGAAGAGGACTAAAGCATGTAGCCCAGCACTCCAGACTCTCAAAACCCTCTTCATGCAGAATTTTGACTCCTGCCATCATGAGGTTACCCCGGGAGGGTTAATCAAAGAGACATTTGAGATCATTTGTCCCCTCAACTGTTGGACTCTTAAACAAGCTGTAGGCCTTAGTGATATTTTTGCTCTTTTCTTTATATCAATGATGACTGCATGTTCATTTTATGTATTTATGTATTTCATGTACTCTTGTGCTGTGTGTGGGTTGTGTGTTGGATGTGTGACTACTGTTTGCAAACCAACCTGCCACTCTGGGACTATGAAGAATACCTTCACCTTAACCCAGCATCGTAGTTGTACTTCTTGTAGTATAGTAAGTGTAAGCGTACAATATATTTGCTATAAACTTCTATGTAATGCAAAACAACATGGTTAGAGAATGTCCAGAGCATTTACCCTTGATAGATGTGTTAACTGGCCCTTTTCTCAGTAAAACCAATTGTGTGTCAGAGCAAGAAGGAACAGGATTACCTATAAGACTAATGGTGTTCCTGTTAGCTACTGTACAGTGAGACAGCATGTACTGCAGCTGAGACCTGCCTTAATGAGAAGCAGCTATAATTAATGTTATTAATTATACCTGAGCATTTTCAGGTCTCACCTGTCAATGTCTGCAGTGAAAAAAAGGTTAATTACAGTTATGGAGCGCTACTGCTGCTGCTGCTGCTGCTATTACTTCTCAGGAGTAAACTTAGTGTTTATTTTGTTGGCACAGTAATGCAGAACTTGTGAGCAAGGAAAACATTTTGTTCACAGCTGTGGTTTGGGTGTTCGCCTAATTTGTAAGCCTGAAAAACATTTTTTTTAGCATTGATAGCTAGATAAATCACTAGCTAAGAGGCGAATGTCGCTTGTCAAATATATTCTGCTTCATTTTTATTTATGGAATGCTAACATATCCTTAATAGTTCATAGCTTGTATCAGATTATAGATTGTATTTAGGGATGTACTTCTTCCCAGAAATGAAGCCAAAATATACCGGCAAACAAGTAAGAGGAGTAAGTGGTCATGAGGTCCCACAGAAACACAATTTGACTAATCGTAAATCAGTCTTGGCTGTCAGTCATGATGGAAACATCATGATTGACAGCCTGTTTTTATGTCATTAAATAACTGATTAAAACCAAAAAGACGACCAGACAAAGGAGCACTTGAACATATACCATTGTGATAAAAACTAGGAAGTCTATAGTGATAAAAAAAAAAAAAACATCTTAAAGTTACTATAGGTGTTCTTGGTTTGGTTTATGTCCCATCCACGACCATGGAGGAGGCCAGATTTATGACCCATACTGCTGCCAGCCACAAGGTGGCAATCGAGAAACTTTGGCTTCACTTTTAATGAACAGTTATGCTGTCCATTTTTATATAAAAGCTATATACCAGATGTGTGCATATAAATGCATTGATATCTCTGTTGCAGCAGCCTTGGTGCTCACCTGTAAACTTAATGCAGGAAAGTTTCAATCTTATTCTGTACGTGGTTTTATGAAGAACTAGTTAAATTACTTAAAAATGTTGCCATTCAGTACGTCATGGCTCTGAGGAAAAGAAAAAGGGAGTGACCAGGAGCAGGGCTGAATTCGGATACTAGCTTGGTGGTCACAAAGGTTGACATTCTTTTGTGACTCATCCATGATGCCTGTAATAAGTACTTTGAAGAGCAATATTGGAGAGAAAAGCCGGAGAATTAGATGAAGTGACTCACATCTGCCTGATATATCTTTTTTATATTTGCCGATGCCCTTTTCAAGTCGGCTTAAAATCAAATTGTCAGTAGTTAGAGTCACTGTTGAGGGACAGGGTTCACTTTGGAGGACTAAAACCATTCCTCTCATGTTGGAGTTTTCTTCATCAGGATGGTCACTGAGCTCGGGCGCATGCCAGGAGAGACTTAAGAAACATGGGCTGAAGAGTGAACATGTATAACCTAGTTGCATAACCTGGGGCATAAAATTATGATCTCATATCCTAAAATAACATAACAAATATGTGGTACTTTGAAAACCTGGGTTAAAATAGTAAACACTCATTTCCCTGTGTTTCTGTGTGTCTGCAGTAAAGCCACAAAGGCTTATCTGAGAGCTGTGTGTAATTTATTTACTGCTGATCAAAACCTTATCCACAGACAGTGACAGATGAAGCCAAAAAATATTATTTACTGTCTGATCCTCTCACTAAAGACTTTTTTCTGTTAATTCCTCTATTTTTTCTTCTTAGTGAGTCTGTTTGATTTGAAGCCAGGTTTATAGTGTTTTGGCAAAACATAAATCAGCATCAGTCCAAAACTAATGCTACCATTTTGCTTTATAACATTGAACTTAAATCACTCTAAAGTGGTGCTCTCTGGTGTACACGTGTGGAGCTCATTCATTCAGTCTTCTGTAACTGACGGGTCAGTGAAGAGGGACGCAGTTGTTTTCTTGGCAATAACACTGCGGAAATCTTAGCAGCAGCTCTGGATTTAAAATTCATTTTAAATTTCATATCATGGTAATGTCCCTGTTTCAGGGCGAAATGTACTGGCTCGCCTATTAAATGCTTGTCCAGCAGTTTACTTGTAGCTAGGGTTGCAAAATTTCGGGAATTTTCAAAGTTGGAAACTTTCTATGGGAATTAACGGGAATAAATCTGAAATGTACAAAATTGGAAGTTGGCCCTCAACAGGGAACTTAAATATAGTTGGGGAAATTATATTGTAGCATAATCTTAGCCAAAACAACCATATTTACTTCAGGTACACTCCTCAATCACATGCACACAGCACACTGCTTACTGCAGGGCTATTGAGGCCACACCCCCTACATGCACTGTGCACTCCTCCATCACATGCACATCTGATTTCAACACTATTGAAGCCACACATTTGAGCCCGAGGACTATCTGAAGTCAAGTAGGTTTTGATAATATTATGGGGTAAATATATTTGATCTATAATAGTATTGATGTTTAACTTGGAAATATTAAATAAAAATAGGTGCTAAATGTAAGCTACTTTTCATTTCATTGACCATTTAAGAGGCTACTCAACATTTTGTTGTTCATTAAAGAAATTAAACTAAAGTTCTACTCAAACAAATCTGTTGAAATGTTTTTTAATTGTATTATTTTGCATGGATGTCTGCTTATGACAAAACRAAAATACTTACATTTATATTTGGATATGATCCAGTTTGTTTAAACTACCCCCAATTTACAGTTAATTCCCATAAATTCCCATAATTCTCATGGAAAGTTTTCAATTTGGAATATTTCCAAAATTCCCTACCTTAACTTCCCATGGAAAGTTTCTCGAAATTTACCGGAAAGGTAAAGGCTCCGAGCTCAGCCAACTCAGATGCTGTCGTATAGTTTTAGTTCATGCATAGTGAATAAGTGTTGCGAAAAAAAATCCGTGCTATGGGTCAGTGACTTTCTCCAGAGTCATCTTAGACGGAGGTTTGTTGGGTGTCCACCTGTCTGCTGCAGCGCACTCCGTGGTCTCTCAGAATTGTGTGTCACCGCTAGGTGTGTTGAGTCGGGAGTGAAGGGAGTAAACCCTATGACCTCTGACTTCACCTAAACCCAAAATAAATAAATAAATAAAACAACTCCTTATGGATTTCAACAGGTCCCCATTACTCATTAAGCAGCTTTTTATTTATTTATTTATTTGTTTATTTATTTGATTAGGACAATGCACATTTATCAACATATCAGCAAAAAGCATCAATATAAATATGCTGGAGTTAGCACAATTGCTAAATTTCATCCGTTGTCCTAAAGCAGGTATCGTAAAAAAAACATACAGACAATACAAATGGATTAACATGTAGAAATCTTACACAAAGAAATAAGTCCTGATTCCTCACATGAGCAATACATGTTTATAAATATTAGCACAAGGGATAGGGAAAAATAGTCTCGTATAAATTAACTGTACAGTAAAACTAAAGGAACATAAGAGTGTTATTAAGAGATAGCCAGAAAGAGGGATAACTACAGGAACAACACAGTATGACCCATATAGTGCTCATGTATTCCTGCTTTTTACTGTTTGATATCTTTTAAATTTTTATTATACGAGTCTGTGAAATACAGTTTTTTCAATAATTGTTTTGTCTGCAACTAAAATATTTGGGAACTGTACCACATATAAGTAGTTTTCTTTCTGAAAAAAATGGACCCTGATGTCAGAGCACGTGTTTTTATGAATTTTCTTTTACATTAACTGTGTTACTCATGACTCATGATGCATGACAGCTGAATGAGCAGGACATCAGCAGTGAGTGTAAACTTTACATATTGCTGCAGTTGTGTCAGCATCACTCATGTCATCCATTGCTGCTTGTTTGTGACAACATTGGCAGCAGTAACACCAACAGTGAGTGGGGCCCGACTGCATCTTTCCAATGCTTTCCCCAAATATAATCAAAGTCGGTCAGCATGTAGACAATTCCTCATAGTAGTGTACAATGTACTCTGCTTAATACAGGCCATGGCTACAAATATGTCACTGGTTCAAAGTTGTAGCATTGAAACATGTAAACACTGTCAGAAATATAAAATCCCCCCTTGTCAGGGACCGTTCAAAAAGGCACAAGGACAAGGTGTAAAATAAGAGATTTTCTTAAATATTGGAAATGTTGTCAACTAAGCAATACAGAACACAAGTTTAATTCAACCAAACATAACCAAACTGAGCTGCTCAGGGAGCTGATAAAGACATGGACTAGTCCTAGACAAACACAAAGGGGGACTGTACTAACTACTTACATTAATTACCTAACAATTTAAGATATGCAAAGATAAATAACCTATCCAAAGAAACCTGTCTAAGAAGAAATGTTAGTGTTAAACAAATGATAAGAACCCATTAAAAGGAAGTATTTGAGAAATCTTAAGTCAAAGCCCCCCCCCTTTGTCAGTCTCTGATGGCCTCTTCCACTTCCTGTAGGAAGTCTTCAAAAGGCCATCTTTTCCAGGCTTCAGGTCTTTTACCAGGGGAGCTCAATGAGACAAACAAAAAGGTAAGTGTTAGCAACAACTCAAAAGACCATGTGACAGAATGTCAATTGTCAATTGTGTGAAAACAAATTAGCAAACAAACTGAATAAAGAGTGTTACATTTGAACAAACAGGACTGTGTGTTTTGTTTTTTTGTAAATGTTTGGGTGTGAAATATGATTAAATCCAAATAAACACTAACCCTGGTGGGCAGTTGCCTCTCTCTGGAACGCATATCTCGCAAAACGTTCAACTAATCTTCTTCCCACTTGGCGTTTGTATTGTTAATGGCCCAGGGAAGTGCAAGGCCAGGTTTGGTGAGATTTAGATTTGCAATACCCTCCATATTAATACAAATTGAACAAACAGGCGACCAGAGCTCTGTAATACCAGACTGAGGCAGACAATGGTGAACTGAACGATGACGGGTGTGGCTTTTTGTCAAGGCAACAACATTCACTGAATCCAATCCCCTGCTGTTTGGCAATTTGTCTTAAAAGGAAAACATGTTTGTTTTGTGTATGTGTGTGTGTGTGTGTGTGTGTGTGTGTGCGTGAGTGTGTGCATGTGTGTGTGCATGTGTGTGTGTGTTCACAGCTCAGGAACCATAAGTCAGGCCTGGACCCTGACTGTGAATGACAAAAACATGCCCCATACACACACATGGTTTAGAGCCCTTTGTTCTTACAAACTCTCTCGCCCTNCAGTACAGGCCTGGTGGTATTATATATTTCTTTAGCTCAGCTTACCTTCCGCAGTGATGGGGTCTCTGTGGTTAAGTCATTCTGGTCTCTGAAGGTTTTCTGTCTGCTTTCATCTGAAGAGAGGCAGAGGGTGAGAGTGCAGCATGATATAGGAAACGAGGTCTCTCTGCTACTGCAACATGCTTTATTACTCTTCGTTCAAGTCTGGAGATCTGTGCCAGACTAACAGTTAGGCTTAAGTCCTTAACAAGAGTTCATTATGCTGCTAAAAGCCTCTCTGTCAGAGGTGTCAGTACTTGAACTGGCTACTGGAAATATGTCTAGATTGTCCTTGATTACCAAGTAGCACGGAGAAACCATCGTTACCTGAGTGAGAGATACTTCAGTGCAAAGAACTGTGGGACTGGAGACTTTAAAGATTAAAAAATAGGAAAGTGGTCACAGACCATCTATATTACCTGCCAGCAGAAGAACAAATATTTAGAAGTCACATTCTGCACAAGCACAATGTTGCCTCCTTGTTCCAATTGCTTAAAGAGTTTTGCTTTCAAGGGGAAAAGAATATTTTCTGAATCTTCTCCAAAGCTGGATCCATCTAATTGCATGTTATTGTCCTCTGTGCTCTTATTCCAGATAAACTCCTCTTAGTGTCTCCACTCCTTCAGCAGCCATGGCTGTCTCTGCATCAGGATGGGCCGTGTTCACCGTTCTCCTCATTAGCAGGTAAGAGCGCTAACAGGAGGAGAAATACAACCGCTGGGGTCTGGAGTCACACAGCTCTCTTAACCGGCAGGAAGCATAATCAAGCCATGTCAGATTTTAATGTGTAACACCACCACTGCTCTGTACGCAGTGTGCTGAAGAGGAGATAGAAAGGTTCTCAGTGGTACCATTTTCTTGTGAGCCATCAATACTCAGTAACAACTTCCCATGAATCACACACGAAGCGCTGAAATTCCATTGCCATGATCATGGCAGTGCTAAGCAGAAGCAATGAGGCAGGATCCAGCACCACATGCATCCGTCATTGCATACAATTGGTGTTAAAATCCCAGCAGAGGCCACATGGAGAGAATGATAGAATGTTTTGGTGCACAATTGTCTGTTGCCGTAAAGAGAAGCCTCTCCTCTTCTTACACTTTGCACATATTAGATAAGGCAAACACTGAGTCCTGCTATAAGATATTCTCTGTATAGTGCAAACCTGTCTTTGCACAATCAGCTGTGGAATTAATGTGCTGGAGCTGGTTGCCTGCTGTACTTACGTATTGCCAAATGCATCTGCTTTCAGTGGAGATGCCATATGCTAGAGTTTGTCCATTCAAGTATGAAATTAGTTAATTTCATGAATCTGGGAGCTTCCAAAGAACCATGTTGATTACCTCTGCATTGATCATTGTTGTGATTGAGTTGCCTATGTCATTGCAGCTATTGCGCTCTGGATATCAAATCACTGATTCATGTCAACCAAGGCTGGAGAAGCAACAATACCAATCTGTTATAAATCACAATTTGTGGATTTATTGTTGTAGAATGATTTTAAAGTGTCAGTTTAGCAGCCTTTAGTTCCTGCTCTGTTTTTAAGGAATACTGAATACAATTCTGCTGCCTATAAACATGCTGTCCTCCCTATAGCTCGACAGGAAACAGAACACTACATTTTTGAGTGAATTACATGATTTTTATTAGTAGCTTCTGAAAAGTAAATACCCAGGAAGAAATTAAAAGTAGACATTTTGGGTCCAAATTATCTTCAGTCTCATGAGCTTGGGGAGGTTAGCATTTGTCAATGTAATATTAATATACCAATTTGACAAGGATTGCTATCTGCACTGATGAATGTCTAATATTTGCATGAAAAGGTATTTTTGTGTGCTGCAAAAAAATATACAGGACAACTATCATTTATCGCTGCTCATTAATAGCTGGTGCATCAGTCTGCTGCCAGTGATGGGTTTTATGTGGGTCTGTTTGGGTCATTCTGGATTGGGCCTAATTTTCCTCTGTTTGCCTGTCTGGGAAAATGAGCCCCATCATACCTAGTCTGTGTCCATCTCCTTAGTCCAGACTGAAATCACTCAAAAGCTTGTATTGCCCTGAAATTTAGTAGAGATTTTCTTGAATGAATGGAATAACTTCGATCCCCTGCGTTTCCTCACATTATCTATACATTGAAGATTCCCTTGCTGTGCCTGCACTTCAAATTGCAAGTGAGAGCATCAGAGGATATGATTTCTGTGTGTCACAACTGTCTTCTGGAATTTATTTTCTCTACAACCACTCATCCAATCATATTCAAACTTCAAATGAGTACTGAGTACTAAGCACCCAATGCCCTTTCTTCAGTGGTTGAGTGGTTTACAAGAACATATACAGATGGAGGTTCCTTAATTTTATAGTAAACAACTCCTGACATCGGGAATCTCACAGATTGTTGAGATGCCAAACATAATGCACCATTTATTTAGAATTACTCTCGCCGTGCACATTTGTGTAAACATCAGTAACGCCACAGAAAGTTGCTTTGAGAGTTTTTAGTTTAGTTTTTGAGTAGAAACCATTAACCCTGTTTTTGTGTAACAATGCACTGTTCTGAATGGCCCATTTTTAACGTACAAAAAGCTACTTATATCATTTGGTTAAGATCCATCAGCAGGTTAAAAGTCTTCAGTTCATGCAGACAAAACATAAAGTAATCCTGATATTCAGCAATGGACATTCAGTGATTGGAAATGGTAACAAACTGCACAGTTTGCAATTGGCATATGACCTCCATGCCATTGTATATGAAGAACCGGGAATGTTACCACGCTCTGATGCTCACCAGCAAACCCTCTTTGTATAAGGTGCTAAGCTCAGAAGCTTTGATGGCTTTATTCTGATTAGGAAAGACTGCTTGGCCTTAACCTGCTGAATAAAATGTCTGAAAAGCAGTTTCTCCAACATACATGGCAAAATTGTTGACCCAGCTTTTTGAACCCATGACCTCTGCAGTGCTGAAATTGCTAAGACCCTCACCTCTGAGCAAACAAGTACCTTGTTAGAGGTCACAAGTTGCTATAATGTCACACATTCAATCTCGCAGAAAGAGCTCACAGGGACATTAATGTCTGTTTGAATTCTAGAAAGATTAATGTCCTGCTTCATCTTGAGGATACAGTATACCACCAATGTAGAGGAATTCCATGATTACAGCTTGAGTGTGCATCCAGGCTGAGATTGATCATGTTCCTGTGGTTGATAGCATTCAAGGATTTTCCTGCACGAGTCAAAAGAACAAAGCAAGAGACTGAAGAGGAGGCTGATGATCGTAGCTGAGCTGGTTGTTAAAGAAAAAGCAGTTGCTTGAAAAAAAGAAAAAGACTAACCTGAATCTGTGCTGTGTGAGGCAGTGCCTTAAGTTGTATTAAAGTATTGAATCTGCGGGTCTTAAATGAGCATTTTTATGGATCCATAAATGATATCTACCTGCTTATTCCACAAATGTCTGTCTTTCTGTCTTCTAATTGAACACACATCTTGTGAAATTGTTCGATTTATCTGCTTCACAATTGGATTGTATATTGCAAAATGCTGGAGGAAGTGCAGTACCTAGTTTGGGTTTATTTGCATAAGCGATACTATCACTTTTAATAAAAAAGGATTAAACAGAAGACCAGCGTTCTGAAGAAATCACTAGGGTGTGCCTTCGGTCTGAGGAATGAGCTGAACGTGTGTTTTCACATAAACTCCAACAGTGGTCTGCATCTGGGAGCCTGCAGCCAGTCATATCTGGCCCACCAGATTATTTCTGATTTGTTTAATCTCACCGTATCATACTCACATAGACATTCATAGGTGTCACATGCTGATCATTTCAACAACATTTATAGACCCACTTCCATATCCCTGGCAAAGACATATAAATACTGACCATTAACATTTTCTTGGATGGGGAAACTTCTCCTTACTCCCGTAAATAAGTTGAAAGCCAGTTCGCATGCTAACTAGAGTAAACGTTAGAGTTAG